TTGAGAGTAAACGAGCTGGTTCCAACCTCATCCAGGTGAAGTTGCTGGGTTGTTTCTTCTCAGTGTTTGGCAGGGCTATGCCTCAAAGGGAAGTCAGATCGAACGAGGCTTTAATAAAACAAGTGTCACTTGGATGCATCTTTCGGGGGCAGTGCCAACATCCCCGCGAGGAGGATGCAGACCCCAAGGACGGGATCGCGGCACCAAAAGCAGTTGTTCTTGGCGTGTGTGAGTTCACCGCAGGTACTGGCTCTTGGTCCGTTCAGTATGCAGAAATTGTACTCTGGTCGAACATGTCCTCTCGGTTGTGACGTCCTTTAAGCAGTTTTTGCCTAGGTAGCTTGCTGTTGGGCAATTCTACCTCCAGAAAAGCTTATAACAACAAATTGTGACACGGAGCGCTTGGTCGACATGACTTGCAACGTGTCAATCTCACACCACTAACAACAGACATGTTTTTTGTTGAAAAGGGCGATGGATCCTCTTTTCCTTTGGCCCTGTATCAACCAGGGGTTTATGAATCCTAGCCTCGCATAATCTGCAATGCGCGGCGTTTCTTTGCGGGTTTGGTGGGTGGGTGTTGCCCAGAGACGGCCAGGCCTCCGCAGCACCCGGTGTCGCAATGGAGGCAGAGGGGCGGTTGGTACAGTGCTTGCCTGTTGATGTTGTATGCTTTGAAACGTTTGGTTGGTCGGTCCCTGCATCATTTCGGTCCAGGCCTAAAAGTTAACACGATGTTTGGACAGTCAGCAAGAAGTTCCGTCTCAAACATCGCAAGTACTCCAGAAGGAACACCCATATTCCATCAATGTTTGAGATGCTCAGCCCTGCTTGAGTTTCCGAACTCGGATTGGCTTTCTACATGGATGGTTTTTGTCAAGAACGATGAGTGCGACCGCCACCCACAGAGTTGTGAGGGTTGGTTAATGTCTACTTAAGATTCAATCTGGGCGTGCTCAAGTAAATCGGCTTTGGCATGATGAATGATTTCTTTCGTTTGCTTGAGGCGCTGTCCAAAAGCGGTCCCCACACAAACCAAATAGAACCTCTTCAGATGTATCAGGGGCATTCGTGTCTTCTTTGTGGGAGTGATTCACATCTAGCCTTGGCCCTAAGTTCAAGGGCGTGACTTTTGAGCCATTCTTGCTGGCAGGTTCTCTCCCGCTTAGCGTCCAGAGGGTGCATTTAGTTCGTTGCAAGGTCGCTCCCTTCGGTGTCTCTTCGCCACCCATCCATAAAGGGGCTCATCAGTTTTGGAAAGATTCACGTGCAACGGGGCGCAACATTCTCCTGCTGACACCAACGGGTTGAGAGCCGAATTGCTGACCAGGCCGGGATCAAAAAACAGATTGCTCCAGACCTAACCCGGTAATACTTGAAGCTTCTCTGAAAAACTGGGGGGTGCCAACTTTCGAATACTGTTTAGATTTCTCCTCGAAAGTTCTACAAAGGGCTGGATGGTCAGATCATCAAAAAGATCCAGCAAAGATCACCCAAGATGGGTAATGACTCTCCAACAATAGATCCCCCTACCCCTGTGCTTCTGGTCACCTACCTTGCCAGACGGCTCAATTCACCGAGCAATAGCCATCAGGTCACGGAGATGTCGGTGGGCTTCTACTACTTGCTGCTGGAGCAGCGCCCGGCCAAGAGCGATCACTTCCGTTGGGTCTCTGATCCATATAGCGCATGGACGGATGCCATGGCCAGCACGGGTAGCAGTCAGTTTTGACGGTGGCTCCTGTGAGGTCTGTCCCCCAAAAACAATATGGGAACCCAACATGCGCCACTTTTGAGCGGAACCTGCACGATGAAGTCCCCAAATGACCCACCAAGTTGCATAATCCCTGCTTGACCATCGCTTGATTCAGTTGGTGAGGTTCGGTCAAATCTTGCACCACCCTGCGACGCACAGACAAGTAGCTATAGTAGGTGACCAGTGATGCTTGCTTTGCATTTGTTGATTTATTCTAAACAAATGTGGCAACTGGAAGCATTGGGTCTCTACGTTCCCTGTTTGCAAACCTTTCATACTAGAAGGATGCATGGTGCATGCCACTGCCGCTCACAAAAGACAGGGCTCCCTAGTTAACAAACCCTAAACCAACCCTGCGTCTTTGAACAAGTGAAATCTCTGCGGACTTTGCTGCGTTTTGGAAACCCGCTTCATTGAAAAGCTAAACCATTTGCAGCTTTCTGGGGCCGAACCTATAGCAAAAAAAGGCCGCGCCAAACCTTGGAACAAAATAACCCTTCCGCCACCCCCTTAAAAGGCAGATGGTATGGGCCGATATATGATCCCGCTTGGCAGCGTTTCATCACAGCGAGGATTGGTCCAGCGGCCTTGGGCATACTCTCAACTTCACCCACAGGGTCGGATTGGGTTCCCATTGGGAACCAATTTTGTACCGCGCGCTATGAGATTTCTTTGCGAATGCATGAAAAGTTGAGATTAATGCCTGATTCACAATCCCACCTATGATTAAGGATGGTCCATTTTCTGTGGGATTTCGTTTCTTCCGTGGGACCCCGTGACGAACAACTGCAGGAGTCAACATCATGTTCTTAATGTTTCCCAACCCCCGCATTCGGACTTTATCGGGAACAGGCAACCCCAGTTCATTGCCGACTTTTCGCCCAGTCGCAACAACGCGGCCTTGGACCCAGACGCAGTGCTGCGCGAGCACAGCAAGTGCCAGTTGGTGGAGGCCACGTGCGATCTGCCGGGCGACGGGGGAAAAGGTGGCAGTTGCCTCTTCCAACCTGTGTGGGTGAGTCTTACACGTGAAATTCCCTCAGGTCGGTGAATGATAGTCATTGGGATGTTGCAGTTCCATTTGCTCTTTTCCCATCAAAACCACAGATGGCGGGCAACTGATGTTGCCGTTGTCGCAATACGCCTTGGCGCTGGAGAAAAGGTACCCACTGTGCATTCCGCGCAGCCAACCCAGCACTCATGTACATTGTTTCAAAGGTACAGAAAGGTCAGCCGCGGTTTGCCCGAAAGAAGGCAACTGGCTCCATGGGTCACATCCGAACCCCCCCAAGGCACGTCCCATTCTTCAATCACAGAAAGCCCGTGCCGAACATCTCCCTTTCAGTTGGCACTTCCCTGAACCTGTTGCTGTCAAGTGGGTTACGTCAAGCTCAAAACAGGAAGCATTGCTTTTCATGATGTGGAGCAGCCGTACCATGCCTTGTGAAGGCGCAAACATTCAACGACTGATGCCCTCCAGTGCCCTCCAAGTGTGTTTCCCACGAACTGTCTTGCGAGGGTGGCCGGGCCATGGGGCGGTCGGTTCATGGGAATTAATCCCATACTAGTATACTGGACACCCACTAACTCTTGAAAGCAGTCTATGGGAATCCCACGTTTCCCTTGAAACTAGAGACGACGCAAAATCCAGGCGTCGCTCCTGGAAATGTTGGCAGAGTCCCTGCCGCTGGCGACGCCCGTGGCCTACGCCGCAAGCGCTGCTGAAGCACAAAGGCGGCAATGGGCGGCTCCCCACCCCCAGAATGGGCCGTGCTTCCGCGTTTTTTTTAGCTTAAGTTTTTTTTGGGGATGGGGCAGGTTTGGGATGGGGCAGTTTACGGTGGCACCAATCTCAGGGTTGTGTTTTCCCGGAGGGCATAGAACGGATGCGTAAGCCAAAACTAGAAGGGTACTGGCAAGGGCTGACTCAGCCAACTGATCGTGGGGGCTGGTCAATCATACTGCTCAGGCTGTGCAACCCAACAAGAAATGAACATCTATTGCATCCGCCAAGGGCTCAACAGCAGGAACCAAGCCAGCAGTTGCGAAGGGCCGATTTGAGGTCTTGCCTTGCAAAGCGTGTGTCTGAAATCCATGATACCTGCCCGTGTTGCAAGGGTCCTACTTCAACACTTAACTACCCCTGCTCAAACTGAGGCATGCCAAATTGCCAGATGGCGACGATTTGCATTGATCACATCCAGCAAGGGGCGCGTTGCTTGCGATTGGCTTGTTGCTTCCGCTACTCTCACTTTTTTTTTCAATCACATCCTCAGCCCCCCCCCCCCGATGCGGCTGTTGCAATCGCTTGCAACGAGCATACTGCACCTGAACAAGCTGGGTTTGTGTCGGGCCAAAATGCGCACAGGGCCCAGAAAGTGTGGGGGACCTACCGCATCGCACCGCAAGAGCTTGAGAGCTTGAGCGACTGAGACAGGCAGCTGCGCCTTCTGAGCGGGTCCTGGGAGCTGGTGCTGGCACAGCCACAGGCAGAGTTGGAAGCTGCCGGTGTTCCTCGGAACCCCGCAGATGGGGGGCTTCCAGGGGACCTCCTTTGCGGTGGTTCACGTGGAAACCAAGATGACAACAACCCTAGGTGTCCTTTTGGGTTCTAGGTGGCGCTGTCCAGATTGGTTTTATTTCCCATGTACCAGGGAAACCCATCTATTTGTGCAACAGCTCATCTATGACAACCACCCACCCGGCCCTCTTTTGGTTTTCGTTTGGTGCTTCGATTCGCTTCGGTCCTGCGGGCTCCTTCTCGGCTCCCAGCGGAAGCACCCATCGAGCCCAGAAAAGATCCGCAGGCGACGGCAGCTCTGGGCTTGGGAGCAGTTTGCATCTTTCGCATCTTGTCCTTTGTTCCATGGGCGCGATGGACAGTTGGAGGGCGAAGCCATGCAAAAACGGGAACGCTTTTCACTCAGTTGAGGACGAGCATTGCTTGCAGGTTCTGGTGCTTCCTGCACAATTTGGATTTTGGTTTGCCAAAGCATTGTTTTTGTTGGTTGCTGATTTTGATTGAGCTTTTTGGTGGAGTGATGCTAGGGAACATGATACCTGGCCCGGGTGCCGGCCACACATGCCAGAGAGAGCGAGAGCACAAGTGGTTGGTGGCTCGGGGTGTGGGGAGTTCTCGGCAGAGCCACACGAAGATCCCATGGCCCTGAGGGCCCTGGCAACTGGAAAGTAGCGCCCAGAGTGCTATGCATAGGCATGTTCTGCCGGCTCCGCAAGGCCCGCCATGGACATCGACCTGCTGAACCCGGATGCCAAGGAGGAGAGCTGAAAGACCCAGGGCTTGTCTCATGGGATATGCGCCACAAGAAGAACGGAGATCATTGGCGGCTTTTTGGGCCCCCTTTAAGACAAAGACAAAAACCAAGGTATCCTCCAAACAAGCTCATCCAATTCAATTGTGTGCTTCGGCGGGTTTTTGGAGTCCGACCAGATTGGTTAGGGTTTGGGGTTTTACACCGAAAAGAATGGTTACCTTTGTTTGGGTGGTTGCAAAAGCAGGATTTGTTTGTCGTCTTCAAAGTCCGCTTAGTTCGTGCAACTGCCTCCACCAACTTGTTGCTGAATGTCAATTCAAATTCGTCGGATTCCCCGAGCCCGGGATAGGCGCGCGGTCGTCAGGAGCGGTCCAAGCACAAGCTGAAGCGCATGATCCAATCCCCGTGACTTGGCTCAAAAGTGGCTGCTGAGATGCTGCAGGTGTAGACCTCTCTCGGTTTGACATGATGTCATAGGTGTCCCCAAATATATGGCATCTAGTATCATGCCTGCTTTGACGTCGTACTTAGCTTGACCACACTCTAGGGGTCCAGGCATCAAAACCGCCAAAACCCTGGGGAAACAGCGGGTTTTTGAAAGAACGATGATTGAAACGAATGGGGAACCAACCCCTAGACACACGCATGTATTCAGCTTGCACTTCGCGACCCCGCCGTGCCTTTGAGGAACAGCTTCTTTATGGACGTGAAGTGCCCAGGTTGCCTGCAGATTACCACGGCCGCTCAGCTGCCTGTGCCTACCCTTACGCCGCATTGTCAGGCCATGTGAGCAGCCAACCTTGTGCCTTGTGCCTAATTTGGCCGGTGCTGACGCATTCATTGAAGACTGGGGCTTGCCTCCTTGGGCCTGGTGGCATTGGAGCGGTGGGCTTCCATGGTGAATTCCAAGCTTGCCCACCGGAGACAAAGCATGAGTGCTACAAAGCACGGATCTCATGATGGGCCCAGCTAGTTGCTTGAAGTTTTCTTCTGACTTAGTTCAGGCGCCTCACTATTGTTCGATCGCCCCAGCGAAGACCACAGAGTTACCAGCTCACCTTGTTTGGTGATCAAGGACCCTTTAGGAGTGGGTTTCTTTGTTTTCAACCCTTAAGTCAGAAGGGTTTACCCCGGTAGGGTCCCCATTTCGAACATCCCTGTGCTTTCAACCCAAGGCGGACATATGAGATTTCCGGGACCCATCCGAGGTCTTCAGCCACGCGCAGACCGTGGTGCTCTGCGGGAACTGCAACGTCATGCTCTGCCAGCCCACCGGGGGCCTGGCACGACTCACAGCACCTCGGCTCACGAGGCTTGCGATGGAGCTCAAGAAAGCCACCAGAAAAGAGGTTCTACGCCCTCAAGATGAAGGTTTCCGTTTTTTTTTTGTTTGTTTTTTTTTTTTATAATAGATATACGGGAGTCAAAGGTATACCTGATCCCACCCATTCGTTTCATTGTTGATAGCCGGCTTTTGAATCTGCAGGCGTGGGAGAAGGGAGAAGAGTCAAGTCCAAGAACAAACAAAGTGCCCGACATCCCGGGCTTCTGACAGATGCCGGGTCAACTTGGACATGGTCACAGATTCACGCTTTTCCAGTTTCTGGATTGTATGTCTGGCAAAGTTCGTGCCCCCATTCGGGCTCGCTGTGGGAGAAGGGCGGCTGCCCACTGACAGAACCTGTTCATCTCTGGGAACCTCTGGCATTCCGGAATCTGGGTAGGTTGGTTCTTCTAAACGGAAGGTTCAAAAGTTGCTCTGTCACCTGGCCGTGTTGGCCAAGCCGTGGCGATGGGACTTCGCCGGTTTTCCAAGGAAGGCTGCTCCTTCCGGCGGAAAGCGGATTGAGAGAGACAGAACTTTGCGGCGCGAGGTGCTGAGAAAAAGCCGTGCACCATGGGATGGCATATTATATGGGTCTGTCCTTATTTAAGAGTGCCCTTTTTGTCTGGTTGCGAAGGGAAACCAAAAGGCAAACCACCACTCTGGATGGTCCCCTAAATAACGACAGACCCATACGAAGGTCTTAAGTCTGGGAACTCTACGCTCATATGATGACAGCCAGATTCTAGCAGGTCACTTAAATGCCCCGTTGATCTCCCTTCACTCTAGGCGGGCCTCAATTTGTCAGATCCACGAATTTTATTCTCATCTAAGGGACACCACGAGACTGAACATCCTAATTTTTCCCAGCCTTGTTTGCCATAGGGTTTGCGGCTCAGCCACAACCGGGACATCTCATGGATGTCTTTCCCGGAGCCCATGGTTTGAACACCCTGAGGGGAATTGCTCGGGTGAATGTGTGACCCCATGAAGTTCATGGGCTTAAGCTAGAGGAATCTTAGCATTTATACAGTGGTTTGGGGATTCCGTGCAGAAACCAAATCAGCCCCCAAGCCAACGCCAAATGGCGCTTCAACTGGGCCCCAAATTCTGTTCTGGGACCCTTCTTTTTTTCTTCAGAAAAGGAACATTGGAAGTTGGCGGTTCCTGAACATGAAGAGGATGGTGGGGACCAGCCCTTAGTGCCTTAGTATTGCTATCCATCGATTTTCACGGCCTCAGCTTCCCGGAGCCCGCGCGATCGGGCAGGGCGCCGGGGGGCAGCCAGCCTTCATCTTGGCGGCGGACCGGCACGCGCGAGCGCCCAGAGATCGCCGGACAAGGTGAAGCGGCAGAGGCTGTTCAGAGCTTCTATGCACAAAAGAGAAGCAAACCGAACAGCAAGTTTGAAATCAGTTTCAATGGTGTCCCTTTCGTTTCCTATTGTTTTCCCTTGGTTTCCGTTTGGTTTCTCTTTGCAGCAGAAAACCATACCAGAAGACAACCTTCCACGAGTAGGTGATGGTTCCTGAGGGAAGCCCATAAGGAATTTGATCATGGAGCTTCTGGCGGGTTGGCCCTGAAACCTGCTTGACCGCCAAATTTCAAGGTTTCACCTCTGTTTCGGCTTTAGGTTAATAGTCTAGGACAGCTGAGTTGCTTTTTGGTTATGCCCTTGACGTGTACCGAAAACGAACCCCGAAGCCGCAATGCAAGCCCATCGTAGGTCCCCAAGTAACTTAAGCTGGTACTCGGCAGGGAATGAGACAATGACCCCTATAAGCAATCCCTTGGGACGTTTCCTTCGGGGGAAACCCGAAGTTCATTCCCAAAACCCCGGGTCACCACTGATCACCACTGCGCACCAGCAAGGTAGAGCGGTGATCTTCTTTCGACCTCGGCCGGAGGCGAAGCGCGCGGCGGTGCTGGTGCCAGGCACCCAGACGCCTGCGGACTGCGTCACCGACCTCAAGGCCCTGCCGCTACACATCGCCGATCCCCAGGGGAGGCGCTTGGGGCGGGGGCGGGGCCGCGCTGTGGGAGAACGAATGTGCTCAGTGGCGGTCAAGGCCCGCCCTTGACACTTTGAACATGGAAGCAGAACCATCGCAATGTGCAATGATCAAAGCAAAGGAGAAGTTGATGATATTTAATTTAGCAGGGCATGTAGGAGGCTTGTGCCCAGTTGCATGGAGTTTGAGTGAGGCCTCTAAACATTTCAGTTATGCCGAAAGCTGAGATCAGGTTTCGGAGCTTCCGCTAATTGAAATTGGGCTAACCCCTGCTCCCGTTTATGACAGTCCGGCTCCCCCCATGCCGGCTTGCAAAGGCTCATGGAATCAAAAAAGAGTTGTCTTTTTTTCTGACCGAGCGCGTGCCTATTTGGGGCCCTGCCACCACTGAAGTTCAGCTCTGGAAATGCCCTCGTGAGATCAGAACAAGTTCAAGATAGAAGTGAACACACCCAGGGAGGGGTTCAAGAGCAGGCAGAATTGCGTTGCTCCTACATGTCCAGCATGCAAACGACCAAAATTCGAAAGAGCGATTCCGCAGCGCTAGCACAAAAGGCAACAAGCAGACCAACCAAACTGGCTTTCTGACTTGACAATGGTCCGCGGCTAGTTTGGGCTTGAACACATCAAAGCGCAACGTTCAGAATGGCCGAGTGCAAAAGAAGGTGAAGAAGCAAATGAAATGGACAAGTCAGCCTAAAGTGAAAGTATTCTTTGTCAACATAGAAGCTTGTGCGGACCATGGTTTTGTGTGCCTCATTTTGACCAGAGGACGAGAGGTAGCTTCAAGTGATCTCGACCAAGCTTCCACAAATGGGCGGCATCCAGTCAGGGTGAAGCTTGATGGCCCTTGTTTTCCTGCGCTTTGATTCTTCTTCCGGCCAAACATGTGGGTTGTGCGTTTGGCTTGGTGAACTAGCTTTGCGTGTGCCCCGGATGCCAAGGCCCCACCCTCCCAAAATCAAACCGAGGAAATCTGAATGAGGAAACCCATGGACCATGTCCAGCTCTCAGCGGCGCTTGTGGGCTGTTGCCCCCTGAACAGGGCCATTGGCTGGGTTCACCGGGGCATGATGCGGCAGGCGCGCGCCCAACCAGGGCCTCAAGCGGTCCGTGGTTGCGATGAGTTGAACCTACGGCTGATTCTCTGGAAGGCAAATGATAAGGCAAATGCAAGTCAACCAACCAGAGCCAACCGCAAAACAGAGCAGATCATAGGGTTTTTCCCTGTTCCTCTACTTGAACAGCTAGAACCGTACCACTTAAGGGGGTGACTTTGAGAATGGCAGAATCACAAGGGTGATCAATCATCGCAGGCCTTGTTCGGAGCTTGTTTGTTTCGAAGTGGAATCCTCAGCAGAATTACATCTGACCTAGCCATGTGGCAAATTGTAGTTCGCCTTGCTGATTGGAGAGGGGCCCCGCTTGTGATGCACTTATGAAAGAATGTTTGTAGGACTGACCAACTTCTGAGTCTAGGATTTTCCTTGGTTTCACTTTGAACGCGGACTAAAACGGATATCCGTTCTGCAATTTAGGACGCCCCCCCCCTCACAAGAGAAAAGAGACATCCCCTCCGATTGATTGTTTGTTGCCCATCCATTTTTAGAACCGCCTTGCACCAAATGGGCGATCATGCGCTCTTTCTTGTGGTTTCTCTTGAGCCACCATCCAAACTGATAGGAATCTATAGAATCTTCTTTCGGGCGCTAGGCTTGTGCCATCGTCCGAGTGGTGGGGAGCTGCCTGGAGCGTTTTGAGAAGGACGGCTATGAGGCGCCCCGCGGCGAATGCCTTGCATCAGCCGGGTGGTGGTCGGATGGCCCATGATGCCACGGTCACCCCTGTTTTTTGTCCAATGATTGCGAGCTGACTCGCAAGAACCACAGGAAGGTACTGACCTTAAATCCTGAGCGGCCTTGATAGTCGGTATTTGTTAGGCTCTCCCCTTCCTACGACTTTGAGCCACTGTGTGATTTTGGACCAGTTTCGCTGTCCAAGGACTACCCAAGCATTGGAACATCGTAAGGCAGCGGAAGCGAGTAGCTACTGGACTGAAATGTGCGTTATAAGTTGTACTGTTAGCACATGGCATTTGATAGGGGGATGGATCTTTGCCGGCCACGATGCTCAGATGAGCGCAGATTCCGCGCTACACTTTTGGGAATGCTAGCGATGCTCAGCTCCACATCAAGATGAGCGTTTTCTCTTTGAAGTGAGCCGTGCAATGGACTGTAACACCATCACGCAAATCACACCATGTCGAATGTACGCCCCGCCCCAACAAACTAGAGCCCGCTTAGAAGACCACACCATTTGTTTGGAACAAGTTAGTTCCCTTTCACGCACCATGTTCGATCGCGCGCCAGTTGACTGGTTTGTTGCTTCGCTGTTGTGTTGGCAGGGTGGGCAAGTGCAGTGTAGGAATTTGGTTGAGTGAATGCATTTGCTTTCGGAACTGGTTCGGGGGGACTCGGCTTTTTATCGTCTTCGCATTTGTTGGTTGCTTTGTGGGGTAAAAGGCACGGAGTCCTTCAAGAAAGTGTTGCTGGCCATTCGGGCCATGGCCTGAGCCGGCATTAGATATCAATTGAATATGCATATGAGTTAGTAATGGCACCTTGGAAACACCCACCCCACGCCCACACCCCCACACGCCCACACACACACACACACACACATCACACATCACACATCACACACACACACGTTCATACATGTTGATGCATAAATGCGGCGCAAACACAGAGAGAGAGAGGTAGCGGCGAACGCGAGACAAGCTGCGCAGGTGCAGTTCATCGGCCACTCCTTGGGTGCAGGTGCTCGCTCTGGAGGGCTGGTGCCGCATCGGCTGCGTGCCGCTTTTTGAAGGGGATAGCAAAACGGCCCCTCAAATTTCATCGACCCCAGACCCCAAACTCATTGCCATGATCCTCCTGTTTTCCCGTCGGCGGTTTCATAAACATGATTTATAGAGCCAAGTTTGATTGAGCTTGTTCCTTGGGGCAACGCTCACGGAGGACATGAAACACATGCAATGCTACTTGCGCTCAAAGCCGAGCCAGATTTGTACTGTTATTGTTGCACGCTGCACCCATTCAGAAACAGCCATGGTGATCTGCAAGTTCATGTGTGGTTGGTGCTGGCTGCAATCACATCCACCGTTTGAGGGTGTGCTGGGTGCAAGCGGGGTTCCCTTTCGTTTCTCTTGTGTCCAGACTGACTGCCCTGCTTCACACAGCGGTCCAAGCTCCGACTTTTCAGCACTTGCCGCGAAGGTAATGACGCAAGTCCAATGCTAGTGGGAACAGCGAGAACCTCCGCGCCTGGGACCTTGTCCAGTCTTGTGCTGTGACGCCACCAATCGCAGCCCAGCATTCCGCCTTCCGGTTCTGATTCCCCAAATTCTTGCCACCTTTCATCCACCCAACACCTATCGGCCGCCGCCCTGTTCTGGAAGGTTGTTGAGCAACATCCTCCCACTTCGATTTGCTCGGGATGTGTGTGTGGGTGTGTGTGTGTGTGCGTGTGTGTGTGTTCTTCCCAGTTGGCTTTAACAGCACCAAGTCTGGGGCTGCAAACTGAACGCCCCCCTGCGCGAGCCAACACTTCTGGTGGCTCCGGGGCCCAGCCGAATGGGACGAATTCGGCTGGTACGAACGGGACGCCAGGGGTGTCGGCCATTTGCGGCGCAGTGTGCCGACTCGGCCTGGAAGGCGTGAAGTTGAACAAGGCGGCTGCCCGTGTTTTTTTTCTCCCAGTTTCGTGGCACCCTTCAACTCGGAACTAATTGAAACTAGCTGACAATTCTTCAAGCCCCTTTTCCTTTGGTGGGCTCCCCACTCATGAAGAATCGTCAGCCCCTAAAGCGGCTCACTTCTTCTACTAGTACCAGCATCACTGGGCGACCGGGATATGGATATATGAGTTTTGGGGAAGTCTTTTGGTCGGTTGAGAAGAGAAGCCAAAAAGGAGCCAAGCATTTTGAGGGGTGCCCTCATTTGAAGACAAGCCAATGTGTTGGCGTTTCGCTTTGCTTTGGAGTGAATGGGGTTGGGATACTGTTTGTGTTTCATTTTTTCTACTAGAGATGAAGCCAAAGGACGTTGCAGAACAGGGCCTAATGGTGGTTCTGATTGCCAAGTAACCCATCAGTTCTCACATGTCTCGTGGAAACGGCTGGCTGGTGGAACAAGTTTTGATTTGTCCAGGGTCCCTCGTTTTGATGTGTTTTCTCAACATCTTGGGTTGCAGACAAGCTGCGCCATCGACATGCTGGCAATCTTGGCGCAGATGACCCAAGTTTGGGTCAGGTGCGCAGCCTGTGCTACGCCACGCCAGCAGTGGGCAACGGCTACCTCGGCGCAAGCGTGAGCGGACTTGTTTGGATGGGCGGAGCATGGCTTGCGCGGTGCGCCACTGCTTTTGGGCTGCCCCTTTGCTGTAGAATGAGCTCACCAAGGATAAAGGCCCTTTCGCTAGGATCTATCTTATTTCCAGTTTACGATTTTAGTAATTTCCCTTGGCAGTTTCCGAGACATGTTTGGCATGAGCAGATCTTTGCAGCTCTCCACCCTGAGCGGGCAAACCACCAAGAAATAGCTTGCAGAGCCCTGTTGGGCATGGGACAGTCGTTCGACGGGCCCTTGAACGGAAGGCTCCCCAGACGAGCGGTCGCCATGTGTGTGTGTGTGTGTGTGTGTGTGTGTTGGGGCCTTTCGGGATTGTCACGTATAGGGACTTTTGGGGTTCTTTGGTGTTCGATCCGATTCTGTGCTACTTTTCAAGGTCACAAAATGCAAGCTGTTTGCGAGAAATGCTGGTCAACGGTTTGCTCGGCATACATTGCTTGTTCTGTAGTTTCTTTTTTTCGCATGTTATGAAACACCACATTTTGCATGTTCTACCCCTTTCGATTCGGAGCGCCATGAGAACCCTTTGGTTTGGATCGGTTTGGAGATTCGACCCTCCAGTTGATTTGATGCTTTTTCCTTAAACCAAATAATCAATCCTGCAACCTCTATTCAAGGAGACAACAACTGCAACCGCCAAAGCAAACCTCTACCCTCAACCGACCTCTCACCCCGAAACCAACCCTGACACCACGTTGGGGCACGTGCCGAGGCTCCTTCGGGAAGTTCTGCGAGGGCCACGCCATCACCGTGATCAACTGTGAGGACGTGGCCGGGTCCTCGGGGTTGGGAAGGCCGACGCGTGAGGAGTTCCCTTTGGACAGATGCCATGGGGATGGTCAACTTGATTGAGGAGCTTGAGCTCTTTCTGGGTGGTCTGTTTTTGGTGTGGTGTGCCATGGTCAGGTTCAACGGCTGTCGGATATGTACCCTGACCTCCACAGAAAAGGGATTGAATGTCTCATGCAGGGCTGGCCTTTAGCAAGCAATACCACCATATGACCCTCACGTGTGCGCAAAATTGGATCACGGGATATCGTCAACGGAGGGTGAAGACATAATTCCTGGGAGAAGGTGGCAAGCCCACTACCCACACAGTCGGCTGATGATGACGGAAAGAGGTGTCACATGTGTGCAGCCAAAATCGGGATATGGGGCCCATCCTTGCCTCTTCCACCACGAACATGCCCAAGGTGCCGAGTTTCCTACCTCTTTTTTTTCGGGGGGGAGGTTTTCTTTGGGGCTGGCCCACCAACCCAGCATCCTGCGGCTTTCTAGGCCTAAGGAGAAACATAGCAGAACATAGGTTCCAAAGGGCCACGTGCGTGAACAAGCATCCCGCGGCTTTCTTGTTGCTTCCGCTGACTGGTGTGTCCCATCTCAGGTCCCGCGCCTCAGCATCGAGACAGCCCGCAAGCTCCGGGATGAGCTGGTGACCCGCCGGGAGGCGTGGGCCGCGGCCTTCCATTTGTAGCTCAAACGGAAAGTGGGGGGGGGGGGGAGTTGTTGCATATGTTTTCATCATCCCAAACAGACACCAAAAGAACATGGGAGAGAATGGGTTATGTATTTGATGTTTGGTTGTCTGGGTCCAACAGTAATGTCCGGTCAAGTGAGCAGTGGTCAGTGACCAAGGTTTTCAGAGTACGTTGATGATGTATTCAGGAGAATCGAGCGTTTTATTTGCTTACTGTTGATCAAGTTTCCTCAGAGCCCATTAGCTTACCATGTTGTTGGCTTTTCTGTATTCTGGAGTGTGCATGGTTTGTATATCGCGTTCGGTTCCCTTGTTTCTCTTTTGAGCTTCGTCATGTTGACCCTGAAGATGCAGACAACCGCAGGGGTCAGCACCGCTTTTTGACCAACTGCTTTGCGTTCGCAAGCCCACTTTGGCATGCGAGTTTCCGCTACCCCGAGCTGCATGGCAACATGGGGGTTGCGGTTAGCGGAAATTCGGATGCTTGGGACTTGAGAAGCCCAGCAACCAGTTGGGTGAAAATCAGCGAAACTACTCTGAGCCTCTGAGCTTGATTCTTGCTGGTTGCCTGCTTCTCAGAGTGCGTTCCTGCTTGGACGAGTCGCCATCAGCAACGAGGCGAAGTAGTTCACAAATCTAGTTTGCCATGAGCAATCGCGGATCGCCAAATTCGAACACCCGTGATTCTGTAGCAACTAAAACACTGAGATATTATTTATATGGAAACTGGTTGGCCCTTGAGCGACCCACAACAGAGGTCATTTTGCCGTCAACCTCAGGCGGTGCGTCTCTTCGTGTCCGAGGACGAATGAGCTGCAGGGCGTCCCGTTTTTGAAAGACCCTGGAAGATGCTTGTGCCCTGCTCCTGGGGAGCGCCCTTTTAGTTGTCTATCAGCTGCCTGCGAGAAACTGAAAAGACTACTTGTCAGGCGCGACTTAGCGGAAAGCAAGTCCTTTCCCAGCATTTGTTGGGCATAGGGGGTAATCATAGCATGGACAGGGCCTGTTTCCTGGATTCATGCCCTGATTCCAAATCAGACAAAGTAATTGCTCAACAGTCTTTCAGCATGAAGCCTCGCCTGATGTCTCTTTGAACGAAGGCATGGCCTCTCTGTAGGTCGGAGACAAGCTTGGCATCAGATGGCCCAAGTTGAGCAATGAAACCTATCACAAACACACCTGAATGCCACTGGGCAGCCTAGAAGTGAAGCACAAGGGCTTGTTGGGTCATGACCCATGAGAAGTTCTTAGAAGGCCCACCAGAACTTCTGGCCTCATCTGGCATTCGGCATATCTAACATGGCCAGAGATGTGGAAGTCAATGGGGCACCACAATGGAGTCGCCCAGGGAGGGGAGGTCAACTAGGGATGGGTGCTCCCATGAGCCCTGAAGCATTGTCACGCCGAGCTGGTGCGCATGCCACACGAGACTTGTGTGAAGGATCATCTGCTGTTCTTAAAGTGGCCGGTTTCTTTTGTCTGGCCCCCTTCCGAATGCCGGGTTTCATGTAAATTTTGTTCCAGCGAGCCCACCAGCAGGGTACCAGCTTATGCCACTTGTAATAGCCATGGTTTTAGCGAGCTGCCTGGGCCATAGTTTGGTACACGAGTCTATTTCTGAGCAGGCGCCCGGGATGTAAAGGCATACTTGTGCTTTGCGAGTCACCTCAACCCGGGTGCGGATCAACAGCGCAGATGTTTCCATAGAAAAATGCAAGGGGATGGCTCTACGCAGGTGTCTCCACGTTTTTGCGCTTTTGCGGTCTGCGGCCAGGACATTGAGGCCCTGAAGGACATCAACAACATCACCGAAAAGAAAACGCCGCGCCCTCGGGCCCTGAGTCAGAGGCATGAGAATGGCTGGGTCTCCAAAATTAAGTCAGCCGGGCAAACCCGAAGAGCCATAGGTGTCCTTTTTGGTTGATTTGGTTGAAACATAGAGGGCCATGGTTTACCTGCTGGTTCAATCAACTATGCGAAGAGCTTAGTCCATCTCAACATCTTTCTACTTTGGTGTAATGGCGAGGGTTTGTATAGTGTGGTCCGCGGGGAGTGGCTCTCACGTCAGCAACCATTTTCAGAGTCATGTTTGAGAGTGTTACTCCAATGCACACAATGAATGACAATCCCCTTAATTTGCGTACTTATGTTGACAGTATATACTGAGGGAGTTGCACGCCCATCAGGGCGAGCAGCATGGGCAGCAAGAGCCACCAGAACGTTCACCCCAGATTCTCAGTGTGGCATGTTGCCGGGCCGAAGTACAAGATGTGCCGCGCCGAGGCGCAGCCAAAGTGCCAGCCTGGCGCCGGCTCGACAGGAAGCAGCCGAGGACGCGATGGCTTGAGAGCCGGAAGGCCCCCTCACCTCCCGAAACCACTGCAAGCCGAGACGGCTCATGGTTTGTGGGGTTTCGAGAAACGTCGTGCTTGAGGTTTAAACTAGGGTGCATGGTGACGGAACTTGGCGGCGTGAAAGGATCGGATGTATAAATTGAAGTTCTGAAAAGCGCACATGTGTATTGGGCTGGTCGTTGTACAGATTGCTGTAAGTGGTAGTGAACATAAATCGTGTCCGCATCTACAAGTTCGAACATGTCCCTACTCTCCGGTCGTAACCTTTCATGTGTGATTATGTGTGTATTGACATGGAAATCATGCATATTCAACAAAGTCTACTTTGACAACGTAACATTTGTTACACGACGGGGGCAGGCATTTTTGTGAAACAAGAGTAAGCTGGCTTGATTCAACTTACCCAAAAGCAGGTAAGCAGGGGGAACTGTAGTGGTAACCAGAAGCGTGGCATCTTGGCAGGAACACCGACGACATATTTCCGGGGCTGTCTCGACGCAGTTTCGCAAGGGTCAGGGTTCAACTGGCAACTGTTTCCTTTTGGCCCTTCGCATTTGTTGTTGGATGGTAGTTACAGTCTCATTGTTTTGAGCGCAAATTTGAATGGTTTTGGCTGGTCACCCCTGCAGGCCAGCCGTTCATAGACGGCACGCCTCAACTTCACTGGCCTTCATCCGTCCGGCTGTGGCTCAGGGATACCAGTTCGTTTTTTTGTGCCCAGTCAGCAATCCCATGTCGTACACTGGCAAGCTCAAGATGGCGAAGCAGGGTTGCATTGGATGCTACGGCTTCATCGAGACCAAAGGCCCCAAGGATGTGTTCGTCCATGAGTCAAACTTTGCTGGCTTGAAGGCACATGTCGGCAAGAGGCTGAAGTTTGACACAGAGCTCGGCTTCGACGGTCGTGATCGGGCGTGCAACGTTAAAGTGGCGATCGACCAGGAAGAAGCAGGGAGTGACCGATCCGCTTGTAGCACGCTTCTTTTTTTGACAACACCTTTAGATTACCTTGAAGCATTGCTGTCCAACTCCCTATTCTACGTTAACGGGCCCCAGCTGCTTTTTGTCAAAAGAGCGCTGTTTAGTAAGCTGAGGTGAGACGAGCCCGCGCAGTTCAAACACGCCGCGCGTGGATGCCTTTCTTCGGTGCAGCCTGGCGAATAGAATATCCCCAGAAAAGTTCGAAAGGAATCCTTCGAAGAAGGTTCCTTTTCCAGGAATGTGAGCCATTGGTTTGGTCCCAGCCTCATCTGCCCTGCAGGCAAGCTTGTCGAAGGAGGGAACAAATGATTCCTGTTTTCCATGCATATGTTTTGCTTGCAAAGGCCTTTCGGGTTATCTTGATTATGTGGGGTCACGCCAAGGAATTACAACCAATCGCCTGAAAAGTTGCCATCGCTCAAAGAACGCACGGTTTCAGGTTTTTCGGCATCGGCTTCCCAAGCTCGAGGGCTTCGTGGCCCTGGCAATTCTGAGGCTTCCCCACAAAATGTGGGACATGAGGAGAGTTCGAAGAACAAAAAGAGGAGTCAAGGCACCAAGACAGTCGCCCCATATTTTCGCTTTCAACCTAGGGATCCGTTTGGGGTCCGGAGAGCTGAGCGTGCGAAGGTTGAGCTGGGACTCTTGGTTTTTAATGTCTTTAGGGGTTATCAGCGTCAGAGGGTGGGCTTTGATGTACTACTCAGCGAGGGGAGGTGGGGGACTGTCATTGTGGTAAGCTAGCGCGGCCAGTATTTCTTAAGAGTTGAGGTGCTCCGACTTGCATAAATTTGGAAAACTGTGGTGAGGGCTCGCTGCCGATTTCTGCAAGTCCCTTGAGATGCTTGTTTGTTGTTGCCAAAATGTTCAGTTTACTGCTACTGAGGCAGCAATTCTGGCAGGCCTCGCAGAGGTGTGTTGATCAAGGGCTGGCCCGAGAGCGAGGCAGCAACGGCAGGGCAACAGTTTGCCCAGGTGAGGAGCCTGATGCAACGCGTCGCTGAACATGGGGGTGGCAAGTTGGGGTGGCGCGATGCTGAGACCAGAAAGGAGCTGGTGTTTGTGGCCAACGCGGTAGACCCGCAAGCGCTCGAAAACACAACTCAGAACTTGCGGGCCCTGATCCACTCTCGCTACTCGGTGGGGCGGGAGAAGGCTGCCAAGGCGGAAATCCGGCTGTCGTCCCTGAAAGGGCTTCCGCATGACGTGAAAGAGGAAATTGCCTTCATGCAGCAGAAGCAGGCAAAGGCAAAGGGCAAAGCAGATCGGGAGCTTCAGAAACAACGGAAGAACCATTGCTTTCGGAAGTGCCCAAGGGAACCAACCTCCCCTGTTGCTAGAGGGGCATCGCAACACCTTGGCCATCGAAAGGGTTCCCTTCATGAAATGGCCCAGCCGAAGTCCAGCCATGCTGCGAACAGCAAATGGCCAAAAGCCTGGAGCCAGAAGTACCGCTATTGAGCGACATGAGAGCGACTGAGCGATGTTGTTTTTCCGACAACTTTACAAATGGCAGTGCCCCTCGTTTCAGCCAGATTCTCCTTTGAACTAGTCGTTCGATCCTTCTGGGTTTGTCGAATCACAAGCCAATGTGATTGAGTGATACTTTATCAAGGGAGGGGCACTCCACTCTTAGCCGGCTGAACTGGCGCTTTTGAATGATTGGCAGGGTCGGGCTTGACCGAGTTGTTCACTTGCACCATCAGCGTCACTGGGCAACTGGGTTGAGGATGCCAGCTTCGGTACAGTGTACAGTTTCGGACCTCGCACCCCAGCTGCGGCTTGGGTGCCCCAAACAGCAATTCCGGATCTTGGATCATGGACCCCGAAACGCGGTTGAAAATTGATCAGCTCGCTTGCGCACGTGGCTGCAGGAGCTTGCGGACTTGGGCATCCCTGCGCCCAAGCCGGGCACCGAGGCCAAGGCGGGGCCGGAGTTCGCTTGGCTTCGTATTTGTTGGGCAGTTGGAATAGCACAAGGGTGATGGGCTCAAGGTTGAGCTTCTCTTGCGGGTGATGCCATGGCACCTTTACCTCAAAGTTGTTTGTTGCGTTTGCAGGGAGTTGAAAGGCAAACCCTGGGTGGGGCGAAATCCCTTGAATGCTGAGGCCGGCCGCAAGCAAATGTGAAAGGTTGTCGGATGTGATTTGGGTTCTCTCGATTCCTCAACTCTTTGAAAGACGCATTGCACTCAGGCATCCATTGCACTCGGGCATCTGACAGGCAACGCACCCATGTTGAGGGGACGTACAAGCTCAAAATGCAGCCTTCACTTGAACGCATCGCGTGCCCTTCTGTCGCCTTGTGCCCTGGTGGAATCTGCGGGCTTTGTGCCTCTTTGTGCGCTTTCAATCGAAAGTATGGGATGGGGATGGGTCAGGAACCGGTTTGTTTTGAGCCTGCTGTGCTTGAGGTGGCTGCGGAGGCAAAGGCCGTGGCCCCAGAACGCGATCGCTGGCAATGCTGCACTTTCAACCCAGAAGCGCTAGACCAGACCGGTGCCAGGTTTGGAGATTTCTTGGCTTTGTTGACTCGTTCTTTGGCTTCCGTTTGCGAGAGGCGACCAGTTTGTTTCCCCAGCTGGCGTTGAATAGAACTAGTTGTGACTGGAGTTTGTTCGAGTGGCACCGGAACGCAGATTGCACTTGGAGTGCTTCGTGTTCCTTGAGACGTTTTCGGCCTTCTGGCTAAGAGACATCAAGTTCCTTGCATGCTCAGTAGGCAGGGCATGAGCCCGAGGGGGCTGCTGTTTGAATTCGGATGTCCAGTGGGATGCTTAACAAGACCAGTGCCTTCAGTGTCTGTCGCAGCAGTCCCCATTCGTACAACTTCTGGGGGTTTCCTGGCTGACCGAGGCAAAGCAGGCTCGGGGTTGGGGGGGGATCCTCCTTTGAGCTGACGCCATCCACTGGCGCCCAAACTTGGATGCATCGTTTGACTAATTACTTGTTGTTGTGTGGTCTATGGGGTGTAATGTTGGCCCCAAAAACAAAATGGGGGTCAGACTGGGACCTGCCTGAGTAGTTTGCCAGTAAGTATTGTTTAGAATTGGTTTAGTATTGGTTTAGTATTCCTTTGAGCTGGCTCACTACGGTTTAGAATTGGTTTAGTATTAGTTCAGTATTCTTTTCAGTTGACTCACTACAGTTTAGAATTGGTTTAGTATTGGTTCAGTATTCTTTTCAGGCGACTCACTACAGTTTAGAATTGGCTTAGTCTTGGTAGTAGGTAGTAAGCTTTTCAGTTGACTCACTACAGACTAGAATTGGTTTAATATTGGTTCCGAATGTCTTTGAGCTGACTCAATTGGCAGGCTGCCCTGGCCAATGTTTTTTCACAATTCCCTACCCTTAAACAAACTGCATTATTGCCTTCCTGGGGATTCCGTGTGCCACCCCCTTGAAAATTTGTCAGGGTGCATCTTCTAGTAAAGGGATTGATAAGGAATTTGGTGGTTTATGACAGGAAGCAATCCAGAGATTCTGGACATTTCTGGCTTTACCTGAGAACAGCGGGGCTTTCTTCTTGGCAGGCTGCCCTGGCCAATGTTTTTTCACAATTCCCTACCCTTAAACAAACTGCATTATTGCCTTCCTGGGGGTTCCGTGTGCCACCCCCTTGAAAATTTGTCAGGGTGCATCTTCTAGTAAAAGGATTGATAAGGCATTGTATTGGGAGAAGGGGTCTGCCTATTTCAACACCAGCCTCTAAGCCTCTAAGCCTCTAAGCCTCTAAGCCTCTAAGCGCCCAAGCCTCTTACTACTAATCAACAGCCGCGCAAGCCTCTAAGCCTCTAAGCGCCTAAGCTTATAAGCCTCTGCTCCCAGCGCCCGCTTAGAGGCTGAGAGGCGTGGAAGCGTGGAGGCTTGCGACTTGGGCCTCTACGAAGCCTCTAAGCGTCTAAGCGCCTATTCCAAGCGCCTAAGCCTCGAAGCGCCTAAGCGCCCAAGCCCCTATTCCAAATGCCTAAGCCTCTAAGCCAAGCCTCTAAGCGCCAAAGCGACTAAGCGCCTGAGCCTCTAAGCGCCTAAGCCTCCAAGCAGCGTGGCGGCTGGAAGACTTAGAGGCTTAGAGGCTTAGGAGCGTGGAGGCTGGATGGCTTAATTAGAGGCTTAGAGGCTTAGAGGCTTAGAGGCTTAGAGGCTTAGAGGCTTAGGGCTTAGCGTGCAGGCTTACGGACCTAGAGGTTCAAAGGCTTTGGAGCTTGCAGGCTCAGCGGCTGAAAGGCTTAGAAGCTGACAGGCTTGGAGACTTAGAGGCTTAGGGGCGTGGCGGCTGGAAGACTTAGAGGCTTAGAGGCTTAGGAGCGTGGAGGCTGGATGGCTTAATTAGAGGCTTAGAGGCTTAGAGGCTTAGGGCTTAGGAGCGTGCAGGCTTACGGACCTAGAGGTTTAAAGGCTTTGGGGCGTGCAGGCTCAGCGGCTGAAAGGCTTAGAAGCTGACAGGCTTGGAGACTTAGAGGCTTAGGGGCGTGGCGGCTGGAAGACTTAGAGGCTTAGAGGCTTAGGAGCGTGGAGGCTGGATGGCTTAATTAGAGGCTTAGAGGCTTAGAGGCTTAGAGGCTTTGGAGCGTGCAGGCTTACGGACCTAGAGGTTTAAAGGCTTTGGGGCGTGCAGGCTCAGAGGCTGAAATGCTTAGAAGCTTACAGACTTGGAGACTTAGAGGCTTAGGGGCGTGGCGGCTGGTAGACTTACAGGGCTTAGAGGCTTAGAGGTGCTGGAGGGAGATTAGACGGAAATCCGGTGGATTCCCGCTTAAACTAAGCTCTAAGCGCCTAAGCCTCTAAGCGCCTAAGCCTCTAAGCGCCTAAGCGCTAAGCGCCAAGCCTCTAAGCGCCTAAGCGCAAAGCGCCGAAGCTGCTAGGCGCCGAAGCCGCTGAGCGCCGAAGCCGCTAAGCGCCAAAGCCTCTGAGCGCCTAAGCCTCTAAGCGCCTTTGCCTCTAAGCGCCTAAGCCTCTAAGCGCCTAAGCCTCTAAGCGCCTAAGCGCTAAGCGCTAAGCGCCTAAGCCTCTAAGCGCCTAAGCCTCTAGCGCCTTTGCCTCCAAGCGCCTAAGAAGCGCCTAAGCCGCTAGGCGCCGAAGCCGCTGAGCGCCGAAGCCGCTAAGCGCCAAAGCCTCTGAGCGCCTGAGCCTCTAAGCGCCTAAGCCTCTAAGCGTTTGGAGGCTTAGAGGCTTAGAGGCTTAGGGCCTTAGGGGCTTAGGGGCGTGGAGGCTGGAAGGCTTGGAGGCTTTAGAGGCTTAGAGGCTTAGGGGCGTGGAGGCTGGAAGGCTTGGAGGCTTAGAGGCTTAGAGGCTTAGAGGCGTGGAGGCTGGAAGGCTTGGAGGCTTAGAGGCTTAGAGGCTTAGGAGCGCGCAGGCCTAGAGGCGCAAGGACTGCAAAGGCTTACAAGCTTAGAGGCTTAGAGGCTTATGCTTCAAGGGGCTTAGAGGCTTAGAAGCTTAGAAGCGTGTGGCGAATTTCAGACATTGTATTGGGAGAAGGGGTCTGCCTATTTCAACACCAGCCTCTAAGCCTCTAAGCGCCCAAGCCTCTTACTACTAATCAACAGCCGCGCAAGCCTCTAAGCCTCTAAGCGCCTAAGCTTATAAGCCTCTGCTCCCAGCGCCCGCTTAGAGGCTGAGAGGCGTGGAAGCGTGGAGGCTTGCGACTTGGGCCTCTACGAAGCCTCTAAGCGTCTAAGCGCCTATTCCAAGCGCCTAACCCTCAAACCCCTAAGCGCCCAAGCCCCTATTCCAAATGCCTAAGCCTCTAAGCCAAGCCTCTAAGCGCCAAAGCGACTAAGCGCCTGAGCCTCTAAGCGCCTAAGCCTCCAAGCAGCGTGGCGGCTGGAAGACTTAGAGGCTTAGAGGCTTAGGAGCGTGGAGGCTGGATGGCTTAATTACAGGCTTAGAGGCTTAGAGGCTTAGAGGCTTGGAGGCTTAGGAGCGTGCAGGCTTACGGACCTAGAGGTTCAAAGGCTTTGGAGCTTGCAGGCTCAGCGGCTGAAAGGCTTAGAAGCTGACAGGCTTGGAGACTTAGAGGCTTAGGGGCGTGGCGGCTGGAAGACTTAGAGGCTTAGGAGCGTGGAGGCTGGATGGCTGAATTAGAGGCTTAGAGGCTTAGAGGCTTAGAGGCTTAGGAGCGTGCAGGCTTACGGACCTAGAGGTTGAAAGGCTTTGGGGCGTGCAGGCTCAGTGGCTGAAAGGCTTAGAAGCTTACAGACTTGGAGACTTAGAGGCGTAGGGGCGTGGCGGCTGGAAGACTTAGAGGCTTGGAGGCTTAGAGGCTTAGGAGCGCGCAGGCTTACGGACCTAGAGGTTTAAAGGCTTTGGGGCGTGCAGGCTCAGCGGCTGAAAGGCTTAGAAGCTGACAGGCTTG